TTGACTCCAAGATGAACATGGGCCGTCAGTGTGGGGAGGCAGTTAGGAAGGCCAACTGCACCCTGACATGCATCCACAGATTCATCTCGAGCATGTCCAAAGAGGTGATCCTCCCCCTCTATGCGGCACTGGTCAGGCTGCAGTTGGAGTACTGTATCCAGTTCTGGGTGCTGCACTTCAAGAGGGATGTGGACAGCATGGAGAGGGTCCAGAGGAGGGCCACTTGCATGATCAGGGGACAGCAGGGCAGGCCCTATGAGACGCTACAGGACCTGAACCTGTTCAGCCTCCACAAGAGAAGGCTGAGGGGGGGATCTTGTGGCCTGTTATAAACTAGTCAGGGGGGATCAGCAGGCGTTGGGGGAGTCACTGTTCCCCCGAGCACCGCCATGAGTGACCAGGAATAATGGTCAGAAGCTGGCAGAGGGTAGGTTTAGGTTAGCTATCAGGAGGCGCTACTTCACGGTCAGGGCGGCTAGGGTCTGGAACCAACTTCCAAGAGAAGTGGTGCAGGCTCCTACCCTGGGGGTCTTAAAGAGGAGGTTAGATGAACACCTTGCTGGGGTCGTTTGACCCCAGTACTCTTTCCTGCCATGGCAGGGGGTCGGACTAGATGATCTGCTCAGGTCCCTTCCAACCCTAGAAACTATGAAACTATCTGTTCAGGTCCCTTCTGACCCTAGAAACTATGAAACTATGATTCCTTCAGTAGCAGACCCAGAAGTGTACGCCAGAAGAAACCAGAAGAAAATCCCAAGCAGGGTTGGGGCAAGGACAATTGCATTGCTTGACTCTGCTTCAAATCTCAAAAGCCTCATACACTGATCCATCATAACTGACCGTGCCCTGCATTCCATCATGGAAAGAGCAGATTATATTGAGGAGTTCTGGTGGACAGCCAATCTTTTCCAATAACATGAAGAGGGCTTTTCTGCTGAGAAGGTTGTAGGTCTTGGTCAGGTCAATGATGGAGGCATAGAGAAATCTCCTTTGTTCCCTACACTTTTCTTGTATTTGTCAGAATGAGAAGATCATAAGATGGTGGATGTATTAGATCTGAAGCTGCACTGCGACTCCAAATAAATACATGTCAGCAAGGATCTGAAGTCTTCTGACCATTACCAAGTGATGATCTTTCCAACAGTACTTAATACTGAAATACAAGGATAGTTACTGCAGTTGCTGTGGTTGCCTTTATTCTTGCACAAAGTGACTATACTGGCATCTCATATATCTAATGGCACTGTCCCCATTGTCCAGCAGTGAGCAAGAAGATCATAAAGATGGGAAAGCAGCATAGGTTTTCCACACCTGATCACTTCCATGGGAATGCCATCTTTTCCA